TTTTATTTTTTTAATTTTAATTTTTTTTTAAATTGTTAGTTTTGCTTGCCCATTACTAAAAAGCTTATAGATAATATTTATTGTTATTAATCATTATTTTCTGTTTGCTTTTAATTTGTAATTAAAATTAAAAATCATTCAATTGATTATCACAGTATTCACGAAAAAATAAATATGCTTAAAAGTTTGTTAGATGAATATTTAAATGTTTTGTTAAAAATTGTATTAGGGAATTTATTTCCTAGAAGTTGTATTTTTTTTGTTTTCTGTTTGCTGACTCGAAAATGTTACACTGCAAGAAAAGTCTTAGACTAAACATGACTTAAATATTAATCGTACGACATATAGGACAATTTCAATAAAAATTTAATGCATTTTCCTGTTGGCAGCAACAGGCAATTGCATTAATATAATATTTTCAAATGTGGGTGTTTAAATGAACTAGTAGTAGTTCACAAGTTCATTTGATCAGCCACATTTTGATGCTAATTTGCTCATTTTTACTTTTTTATATATTTATATATAATTTGTTACAATAAATACGAATAATAGTTAACATAAAACAAACCACTCATACACACACACATGTGTCTGTGTTTATGTATGTGTGTATGTGTGTGCGATTGGTGCGTGAAACCGAATCATAGTGAAGAATTATGCTAATATTTGATGTGTTTTGCGACATTGAACCTGCAAAAAAAGAGCAGTAGAAGGAAATATTTAGTAAAGATTTTTTTAATGACACTCTATACACCAAATTATGAATAAAAAATTAAATTAATAATTAATTTACAAAATTAATGTGGCAATATTTGTTAAATGCCAAAATAGTAGAAAAATAATTTTAAAAACTTTTAACATAATTTAAAAGCAATAAAAGAACAAACTAAAAAATAATTTTTAGAACTATTTTAATTAAAACATAGAAATTAAAATGTAGGCCGGTATATAAAAAAAATATTTGTAAAATATAAAAATTAAAGAACATGAAATTCGAATAAAATTAGAAAAACGAAATGAACAACTTTAAAAATTGAAAAAAAAAAAAAAAATAA